TTAAAGCACTTTTACAAGCGATTCATAAAATCTCATATAACCTTTAACATGTCAAAGTCATTCTCTCTGTCACTCAAGCAGCTGGGCGGATCCAGACATAATTGTCGGGATCCGCTTCAGCTGCGGCGTCTCAGTATACCGCGAGCTGTAGCTCACAGTATACTGAGCTTAGGGTGAGGGGAGGACGCTAGTTTGTGTCCTCCCGTTACCCTAAGGAGAACTATGGGGAAAAGCCTTAACACCATAGTTCTCCTTTAAGGCTAGGTACACACCTGTGCGATCCGTGACCACGTGGCAATTGTGCACGAAAGCGCGCGGATTGCTGAGCGCTGTTGGTGCCATTATTTTCCAATGGCACCCCAGTCACCACGCCGGGCGGATCGCGCAGGATTCTGCCCATTCAAACACTAAAAAAAAGCTGTGCGTCACAAAAAAAGTACATGTACCTTTTTTCAGCGATTGTCATGCGGATTTAACCTCATTGAAATCAATGGGGCCGCGCGGCAACCACTGTGTGCACCTGCAAACGATCGCGCGTCCCGGGATCGTACAGATCTGAACCTAGCCTAAGCTAGCCATACACTGCTGGAAATTTGACCAGGACCTGACTCAGTCGCCAACCCTCCATTCAGCAAGTCAATGTTTCAGAGCCGATCCGAAATTTTCAGCCGAACAGCGACTGCAGCCAATTAGCTACGTCGAAGCCAACCTATGGGTGAACATTCCCTTCTCTGCTAGGGAGATTCACCCTCTTCGTATGCAGGATAGAAAGTCATGGGGACATCCAAACTTTTACACTCGTCACCAGAACAAGAAATAAGAGGAAATCTTCCAATGGTGTCACCTGCGACCACTGCTACTACGTCCCTCCTCTATTTAAAACTTGGCTGGCGATCGTCTGTGAAGGTTCTCACTCATCCAGGTCAAGGAATATCGGTAAGAAATATATCGAGGCAGCTGGACTTGTTGTATTGTTCTTGAAGACGTTTTTCTGGTCATCCAACCAGCTTTCTCAATTCTGTATTCCGGATGGAGAAAGCTGGTCGGATGACCAGGAAAACGTCTGCAATAGTCCAGTTGCCTTGATTTTTTTTTTTACAGATTGGTTAGCGATTGACTTTAAAGTGACGCTAAACTCAGGAATTAAACCTTCACATGCATTCAGGTCCCTTAACCGCTAACAAAAATGTATCTCATCTGTCACCGTGAAGAAGGGGCCTGACACTTTGGAAACATCCGGCGCAGCTTCACAACCTGAAAAATCATTTACAGCCGCGCAGGGAAATCATTGCATTTGAAATTCCAAGGATCTCTTCCAATTCCCCCCTCGGATTTACACTTTAATATGCCAAGGTAGGGAGGTCTCAGCGGAGGAGCGTACCGCAGCCCGGGGTCCCCCTTGCAGCAAAACACACCGGCAGCCGATGCTCAGAAGCCATTAAATATAAATCCGCGTTGCGCAGGCGACACACACGGAAAATACACACACACACGCCAACAACAACAACGCTGAAGAAATATTTAATTAAGCCGATCCTGAAAGAAAAGGAAAAAAAATCATTCTTGCAAACATCTCTCCCCTCGTTTTAGAAATGAGAAGCCTTTAGCTTTACCTACAAACATGTTAATTGGCCTGTTCTTTATGCAAATTTATGCAGTTTGATTTCGGCGGCGGATATTAATCTGAAGGCAGCGTGCAGCCGTCACTCTCTGGTGAGTCTGGGAGGCGAGTCGGGGAAGAGGCAGGTGCTGAACCCTCATATGAGGAGAGAAGTGCTGAGATACCTGAGAGGGTAAGAGGGGCAGACGTCATCGATGCAAGCGCCCCGAGACCAAAGTTATCTGAGGAAGGATACGGAGGGTTGAAGCTGAACTGCCGCCATCAAAACTTTCACCGACATATCTCCCTCAATAGCCACAAAGCAGATATTATATCCACTCAGTGTGGACCAAATGCCTTTGTAGTAGCAGTTGCATCATCACTTTGTTGAACACAGCTTATGCAGAGCTGAGGGAGGGGGCCCATTAGGCCCCGCCCACTACAGACAGCCTGAAGAAATCTACAGGCAAGACCAGTCACCCTACACAAGACGCCGCAGCCGGAGCGGATCCCGACCTGGACGTTGGGATCCGCCCAGCTGCGTGACTGACAGCTGGCTCTGCCTATCTAGAGGCAGAGACAGCTGTACCTGCCCCGTCCGTTCTGCCAGTCAGCGCTGGAGAATCGGAGCGGGGAGGGGGGAATCCAGTCCCTCCCCTGTCACGGCAGGGAGCCGTGAGACAGGATCGAGAGGTGAGCGAACCCGGTATGTGTTCGCTCACCTCCCGATCTACTGAGCCGACCTGTGACAGTCTCATTGTCACAGGTCGGCTAGAACTATGAGGTGAGTGGAAATCACGCATCTCATAGTTCTCCTTTAAGTATGGGCAGTTTTCCTACATGGACCAAAACCTGTCAAGTGAATCAGCTTCAAACTGGTTCTGGTGTTTATAACGGTGGTAAGAATATTAGATTGTAAGCTCCTTTGGTGCAGGAGCAGAGGGCTGTATGTATTCTATAGAATAGATCAATGTTCTTTCTGTGAAGCATGACGCAGAATGGTGATCTACGTTCTATTGCAGAACTAGGAGCATGCAGCTGTGCATGTTCCTAGTTCTAAGACTGCTCTGTCACCCACAGCCGCCAGTCTACATGAACAATCGGGAGCCAATCAGCTTGATTGCTGATCATGTGACCATTATAACAGGCATTCCTGGTGATCACATGATCATTATGACAAACAAAATTGCTGGCGTCCGCTGCAACAGGCAGAGGTACAGTTACAACAATAATTGAATATAGATTTTTTTAGCCATCTCGTTTTCAGTTCTCTGCACATAATTCTTCCATATGTGCCTGGCTGGAAATATGGGGGTCCTTGTTCTCTGAACTCAAATTAGGGATATGCTATACAGACAATGCATAGCGGAGGTTCAGGAAAGGTAGCAGGGAATTTCCCAGCATCCTCTGGGGTCCGTTGTGCCGGGGAGATGCTAAATCCGTGCCGATTAAAAGGGAAGATGGTAAATCTCATGTTCTGCACACGATATACGTTACGCTCCGGCTTGCCCCCGCTCCAGCACATTTGCCCTGCAGCTAGACTTGCTGCCCATAGTACAGGAAAACCCAGAGACGTCTCCATTAGCAGAGCCCTTCATAAAAGGGCCAGCGTAGCGGAAAGTGACGTGACGCACACAATGTAATATAACAGAGGTATAAAGAAGTCGGCGAATACATGACCCCCCCCCCCCTCCGGGGTATTACCCCCGTGCCTCTGAATACTGCCCTGGCACGTTTCGTTGCTCCATAAATGGCCATTGTGATCACAGCACAGCCCGGGCCTCTGAGTCACAACAGGCAGGAAAAGAGCAGAGACCCGTATAAGAAGCACTTTTCCCGCCCTCTTTGTACAGAAGCAACCGGCGGCCGCCCTATGCCTGCGAGCAAACGTGAGGGATGCAAAAAAGGTTTTATGGCCATTTCAGGTCACCGGTAATGGAATGTACGACCACTTACCAGTCCCTTAGGCTACATTGGTTTCTTTATATTCAGGCCTTCATTTCTTAAAGGAGAACTGCGGGTAAAAGTGTTAAGCCTTGAAGGGGTGGCTACCCCCGCACTGCAAGGGTTAAAGGCTCTTTTTTTGTCTACATGGCAAAAAAAATAAAAAGTTATACTCATCTGAACTGTGGAGCCGGCTGGCTGCTACTCCGGCACGTCTCCCCCCTCCATTGCAGCGACGATACGTCCCTCGACATCCCATACACAGTGTACAGAACGTGATGACTCAAGGATCCTTAGAGCGCTGCAGCGGAGGGGGACCAGTCTAAGACCAAGCTGGCTGGGAGGATCGAGTGAGTTCCTAGACCGGTCCCTGGAGCCTCGCTCCGGTCTAAGGATCCTTGAGTCATCACGTTCTATTCACTGTGTATAGAACATGAGGATGCCGACAAACATACCATCACAGCAGCAGAGGAGAAGACGGGCTTCGGGGAGCGGAGTAGCAGCCAGCCGGCTCTGCGGTTTGGCCGAGTATATTTTTTTTTTAGCGCCTAGACAAAAATGAGCACTTAACCCTTACAATCCAGGGGCAGCCCCACTGCAAGGTTTAAGAACACTTTTGCCTCAGAGTTCTGCTTTAATTTTCACCTGGTGATCCTGCCATTACCATACTTCCTGTTCCAGGGTGACAACGCTCTCTCACTGTACTGTGTCTATGGAGGAGCAGCGTCACCCTACCTCTGAATCGGACAGCAATTACCTCCCCCATCTCCATTACAAGTTGTGGAGGTGTCCTATAGGATACAGAGATAGCTGCAAAGGCTGGTAACATTGTTTGAGATTTCAGTTCAGGAACTTACAAGGACATGGGATTCATACATACACACACACACACACACACAATCTATCTATCGCTCTCTATATTAGGGATACACCGAAACTAGTATCAGTGCCGATAGAGTGTTTGGGCGAGGAACTTCCAGTATCAGGAAGCCGGGCGGCGAGGTCATTACAAGCTGCCCGGCTTCCTGATTGGCCGGGCAGTCGGCTCCATGCTCCCTCATCACCAGGGAACATGGAGCTGGCTTCCCGGGGCAATCAGGTATCCAGGGAGCTGGTAACGACTTGCCCCTCGGCTTCATGATTGGCTGTGAAGGCAGCTCTATGCCCCCTCATCACTGGGTGACTAGGGAGCATGGAGCTGGCTTCACGGCCAATCAGGGAGCTAGACGGTGTGAAATGACTCGCCACCCAGCTTCCTGATTGGCCAGAAAGCAGGCTCCATGCTTCCTCGTCACCTGGTGATGAGGGAGCATGGAGCCGGCTTCCCAGCTAATCAGGGAGCTGGGCGGTGAATCATTAGACGCCGCCCGCCTTCCTTAATGTGACTTCTGAAGAACCAGTATCGGTGCATCCCTATAAGATATAAACACACACACAAACATGAAATATGACTTACGACTGGTGGACGCTGCAGTTGTAGAAAACAAAATCCACGCTGGCAAACTTCTTCCCGGTTTCCTTGGACTTCAGAAACAGTTTCACAACTCTCTTGTCACCTAGAAGACAAAGAAGACGGTCACCACACAACGCCGCCATCAGCAGAAAGAAGACTGCCCGTCATCCTGTGACTTCCAGCCCTCTAGAAATGTCGCACTTCCTCTTCTCCGTTATGAGCGTTTATATCCCCGCGTTACACATTGAATTCGCCGTCATATTTCTCTGTGATAATTGCTGCTGATGTATCTGCACCTGCAGGAGCACAGTGTGCATTTATATTACGCGGCTTAAAGGGGCTCTACCATTTAGAGAGGTTTAAAGGGGAACTCCAGCCAAAGCACATTCCTTCAGATACGGCAGAATAGGGTTAGCGCCTCTACTGATGTCTGTGTCCCCGTCTCTGAGCTGAACTTTCCGTTTCCCATTCTGAAGTTGTGAGACTTTAAAGTAGGGATGCACCAATACCGGTTTTTCGGTATCGAGTACCGATGTTTTGCTTTCTGCACTCGCCGATAGAGTACCGATACCGGTGCTTCCGCTGCCATGGTGCCGGCTTCCTGGGAAATCAGGAAGGTGGGTCATTACTCGCTACCCAGGTTACTGATTACTGACATTATCACTACGTCCCTGTGCTTCTTTATGCAATGCCGGCAGATCATGGCTGGTGGGAGGGGCCAGCAGGGTGCTGTACATTGCTTTTATGAAAACATCACAGCACCCTGCCTTAGTATTCCTCTCAAGATCCCTCAGTCCTGACGCAAGCAGTGAGCGGGCTCTTGGGAGGAGTTATGCAAATATCATAACGCTTTGATGGGTGGACGTCAGTCTGGAGGAGTGGGCGTTCCTAGCCAGGCTGTATTTGCATGTAGACCGGCCTAAGTAACCCCCACATGTGAGAGCGTGTGCTAGCCATGAAAGAACTGAAATCCAATGAATAAAGGGGGGCGAAGTCAGACTGGGGAGGAAAGTACTAGATGATGATGGATGTCCTCCAGCCAGAGAACGAGGCGGGCTCTATCTAACGTGCTGCAGCTTCTAATGCACATTGTCGGTACAACTGAGCACGGCTGAAGGGAAGGCCGGAGGTCAGATTTAAAGTGCATGTAAAACCTAACAATAAACCTCTTCTAGCCCTATACATACTTCCTGTGGCAGGGTGACAAGTGCAGTGAGTGTTGTCACCCTAGGACAGGAAGTGTGTTGCTGGCAGCAGAAATTAAAGGGAAAAAAAGGCTGAAAGCGAATGCAGCCGCCAGATCCAAGGACATGCGAGTGGCAAATATATGACATTCCTGTTCTTGGGTTGAGATTCACTTTAATAACAAAGTTACTTTTTGGGCATTTTCCCCCAATAAATAAATAATCTGCTGCAATGTATTTTGTTTCAGCCAAGCAGCTGTGAGTGCCTAGGCCCCTCCCACCGGCGTGACATCACGCTTTCCAATGCATTGTCCAAAATGGCCACTTTGGATGAGCGTAGCCTCTGCCGTGAATGTTAATGCAGCAGAACAGTTTTACTGAGGACTCGGCGGCGGGATCGGGGACAAGGGGGGGGG